TGAATAGCCTCAGATCTAAATCCTTAAATTGTGTGTGTGTGTGTGTTTGTGTGTGTGTACTTCAACTTATACAATTATATTGCATATTACAGATATATTGTGATATTAATATTATATAAATTATAATATTATAGATAATAAGACTTACAACAAAGCAAAGCAAGCACGAAAAAGATTTTTGTGAATCCAGTTGTTTACAAGAACAGTTGTTTTGCTCCCTTTGCACGAGGTCATGATAAATTGGATGCATTGACAATATATTGTGTCTGTTTTTAGGTAGTGGGGCAGCTATGCAGTTTTTCAAAGCTCATAGCTTTGGGCAGGAAACCTGTTCCACCTGCTTGTTCAGTGGGCTTGGCGTACAAAAGCATGTAGGGGCAGGACTTGGGAGGAATGAATACTTACTTTACCTCAAGTAGCATCTTTAACTTTCAGTTTGCCAGCACAAAAACTTCCTAGTCATGCTGTGGATTCTCTCCTGTGTAGTTCCATCACTTCCCCCTGGACCTCAAATTCAAGTCCATATTTGCACATTGCACCTAATTGAGTGTAACTCATTAAATGTCAGAGTTCACAGTCTTACAAAGACCAAACCATTTTCTCTCATTGTAGCATTTTAGCATCAGCATCAGCAGCATCTTGCAATGCTGGTTAATGTGGTGTTCTTTTACCTTGAATTGTTAACTAGACAGCTGCAGGTCCATTGGCTGTGAGTCCCCTATTGACTGTGGTAAGAAGACATTTTGGATTTGTGCGTGGTCTTGATACTGGGTTAATGCATCGTCTGCCCCATTCATCATTTTAATTCTTTAACATCCATCTCATTAAACTAATCCAATCAGAAGGACGCCACAGGAATATTTCGTGCTTTGCTTTAGCCACGGATTGTGTGGAAGATTCCATGATATGGACATTGGTCGTACTTTGACATACTGAGATAAAATAACATAGTTCATGAGTTTTTTTCCCCCGTAGTAGCAAGTACATTTAGCAGGTTTATTTTAGCAAGTTTATTTTTGTCAGCATAGACATTTTTAAAATGATAAAGTCTACACATTTTTTTCTATGACTTTATTTGATGGTACACATAACCTTCAGTGAACTTTTCTTAGACAACTGTGCCATTATTTCAGCAATCTGTGGTGTCTAATACTGTGGTAGCATTCATTTCAGGCTTACCTCCTAGACGTGTAAAAAACAATTGGTTGCTTTACATGTCAGTGATATCTTGTCTATATAGGTGGAATAAGACCTGATTATCCAGATAGACCAGGTGTCAACCAGATTATTCAGATGGTTTAAACAATCTTTTCCATGAAAGCCTGTTTCCACCACATAAGGAAAAAAAACATGCTTTGGACATAAAAAGTTATATTTATGGGATGCAAAAGTCAAAATTAAGACATGACAGTAAAGTCAAAATTATGAAATAAAAATCATAATCAAGACAAAAATGTAAAGTTTGAGATAATCGTAATTATGATTTAATATGTAATAATTGGATTTTTTCATCTTATAAATCAATTTCAACTTTTTGTCATAATTATTACATAAGTTATAATTGTTGCATAAAATGTTGACTCTTTAATGTCATAATTGTGACCTTTTTAATTATTTTTTACTATGTATCTAGTACCTAGTAGTATCTAATTATGCTTTACCAAATCATGATTACCTATCTTTTGGGCTTTTCTGGACTTCCAGTAAGGCTGTATATACACAGGACTTGTTCTTGCATTCAAAACCAGCTTGATGAAGCACATTGTACATCTCAAAATTGTTACTAATTTACTATCTTAAAAATATAATGCTCAGGGTAATGGCTAAATATAAGACACTTGCTTACATGGAAGAAAACAAGAATGCATCCTGTGCGAATGGCCACAAAAATAAATCTTACTGTCAGGTAGTTTGTTTTAGGGGACTCATCTGTTCTCTCAAATGGACATTCTGGAATCTTAAATCAGAGTCCTGTTTGCTACTTGATGTAGTGCAATGCAACACTCATGTGAAAAGCACCTAAACCCATATTGCCAGATGCTTTCAACAGTGTGGATGCATTGAAATGCATGATTTTTCTAATTTTGTGGAGAAATTCTTCAGCCAGCTGGTTGTACAGTACATTGTATGTAGGTTTGTAAACAGTGGTTATGTAATGTGAATGTGTGTGTATCCTCAGGCTCGTTCCTTTGGCTCCAGGAAATGCACATACATCTGAAGCTCTGTTCTTGTAATTGTTATTTCAAAGACTGTTCCTCTGTGCTTTTGCAGGCGACTATGCCGGCTTCCCTGGTTGTGGCCTTCTCCGTTTACACAGCACTTACCGCCATGACCTCAAAATTTACGCATCCGATGAGGGTCGTGTGCAGATGACTGCAGCGGCGTTTGCAAAGGTTTGTTGGGTTTCGTCTGCGGGGTATGTTGGTATTACATAATGCTTTTAGATGGGATCAATGTAAACTGCAATAGATTTACAGAGGAGTTCAAAATTGTGCTATTTTGCTTGTTCATTTTATTTATTGTTTTGTTCTTTTTTATTTCATGTGACTGTATTCAGGGTCTGTTAGCACTGGAAGGAGAGTTGACTCCAATCCTCGTTCAGATGGTGAAGAGTGCCAACATGAACGGACTGCTGGATAGCGACAGCGACTCTCTCACTGACTGCCAGCAGAGAGTCAAAGCTCGATTACATGAGATCATGCAGAAGAAATTAGACTTTAGTGAGGAGGACTACAATAAGGTGAAGCAAGTTGCAACTGCTTATTTAAAAATGGCTCATAATCTCAGTCTAACTAAACTAGCCTAAAATATGTCCTGTCTCTTTAAGTTGGCTCCAACAGGCAGCCCATCTCTGGTGAACTCTATGGAGGTAATTGTCAATCCAGTCAGGACTTGTGATCGAGTTCACACCCTCATTAAAAGCCTTACTTGTCAGATCTGTAAAAGGCTGGAAGACCCCAAATCTGCAGGTTTGCCCTCTTCTTTGGCTTCTTACTTGCAGTAGTCTTGAATATTAAAAGTGCTTCCTAAGTGCTTGCAGTATTGTTATTACTAAACTCTAAATATTAATACATAAATATTAAATATTTAAATGTTAAAAATAATTTTAAATGTATATAAAATATATAGATATATATGTATGTTTATTCATTTTATCATTTATATATATATATATATATATATATATATATATATATATATATATATATATATATATATATATATATTTATATATTTTTTAATTTTCACAGATCTACAGCTATACCACAGCGAGACTCTGGAGCTCATGCTGCAGCGCTGGTCCAAACTAGAGCGTGACTTCCGCATGAAAAACGGACGCTATGACATCAGTAAGATCCCGGACATCTATGACTGTGTGAAATATGACACCCAACACAATTCTTCTCTTGATCTGGAGGACACGCTGGAGCTTTTCCGTCTGTCCAGAGCACTTGCAGACATCATCATCCCACAGGTAGAGGAATCGATACGCAGCTAATAGTGTTTGTTTATTCTTGTTCATCTTGCTGTTACCTGCATGCACACTCTCTTTCAGGAGTATGGAATCACTAAAGCGGAGAAGCTGGATATTGCCAGTGCCTACTGCCTGCCTCTGGTCAAGAAGATTCAGCTGGATCTTCAGAGAACACATGAGGACGAGGCCGTCAACAAGCTGCATCCTCTGTGAGTCTCTATACTGGGGTGCAATGCCAAACTCTTTGAGAGAGTTAAGGCTAAATCACATTTTGCATACTATACTGTACATCCTGTATAGTGTGTTAAATTACTATTAGTACATTCCACTTCAGCATCCATGCATGCTTTTTTGTGGTTGTTTTACTCACAACCCCTTGTGCTTAACTTTTACCTTTTTAAAAATTGATATCCATTTTAATTGCACAAAAATGGTGAACAGTTTTTGTCAACAAAAATATCATTTTTGTTTTTTTATTGGCAGTAATATGTTAAAAAAAGACTTCAGCAATCCAAACTTTACCATTACCAAACTTTAATTATAAATGTAATCTACGTTAAGATTTATTAAAAGTATTACATTTTACTTCTGCACTAAAATTTTATAAAATTGTAACAATTTTTATTTATTTTATTTATTTATTTTTTGTTGACGATATGTCAACTAATAAAATTTAGCAAACCAGACCAAAAGTTTTTCAACATTTTGATGTATAAATAATATTGATTTCTTTAATTTATATTTTCAAGGTTTGATATTTAGTTTTTTTATTTTAGTCGTAGTTATTTTATTTTGATGAAAATCTTTGTCAAAATGTAGTCCATTTTAATTACACTAAAATAATTACACTAAAAATGAACATTTTTAAACAAATTTAGTTGACAATAGTATATAAAATATAAAAACAAACTTTAGCAAACAGAAAACAAATGTTGCAACATTTAAATTTGTTTTATTTATATTAATAATTATATATTAAATATTTATTAAATTTTATTTATTTAATGTTATTTGTTTTAAATATTTTATTTGTTATTGATTAATAGTAATGCCATCATAGACTGTTTTAAAATTATTGTTGACTTTTGACATTGCTAGTCTGGCTTGCTGCATACTTAAAAGTTCCCACTTTACCATCACAACCATGCCATAAGAATGGTTCAGCTTTATCTATATCGTATTATACAACCTCACATTGTTGTAGAAGCTCTGCAGACTCAGAACCTGTGAGTGATCAGGTTGTGTATTTCATCCCTCCTGGTGGTTCAGGTACTCGCGGGGAGTGATGTCTCCGGGTCGGCACGTTCGGACCCGGCTCTATTTCACCAGCGAGAGCCACGTTCACTCCCTGCTTAACATCTTCCGCTACGGAGGCCTGTTAGACGTGAGTAAACAATCATCAAACACGCACATTATGCCCCGCATCATGTTTAATGCAGGTTACTACTTGTTTGATCTCATCTGTGTCTGTTTAGGAGCAAAAAGATGAACAGTGGAAGCAAGCTATAGACTACCTCAGCGCTGTAACCGAACTCAACTATATGACACAGATTGTTATTATGCTGTATGAAGACAATAACAAGGTATGAAATGTGGCATCATCCCTTTGTACTCAATTTCTATGCTTCTTTCATATGCTGACATGTGTGTCTGTAGGACCCCTCCTCAGAGGAACGTTTTCACGTGGAGTTGCACTTTAGCCCGGGGGTGAAGGGGTGCAAGGATGAGGATAATGCACCAATGGGTTTTGGCTTCCGACCTGCCTCCTCAGAGGTCTGTGTTTCACTCACCCCAAGGATTATATTTATTTCAGACCACATTACTCTGCTGAGCTTTGGAATTTATATACAACTTTCTAAGAAATATTGCATGCTGGACCACTTCCAACACTCCCATTTCATATGTAACAGAACCACGAGAAGCAGACAGACCCAGGCAGTCTTGAAGACCTTTCCCAAGATGAGCCCGACAGAGCCGCACTGACTGAACCAATCAACATTCAGAGGAAGTCGCCACTCATACGCAGCCGAAAGGCTGGATCTATGGAGGTACAGTACTGTACTATAGGCTCTTCTGGTAGGCCTTAATTTTCTTTATTTCATTAAATAAATAATCAAACAAATTGACACAAACATTTACTTTAAATTAAATAAATTTTACCGCCAACAGTGTGGTGGTAATTGTGCAATGTTAACTGCGGCAGGCAAATAACATTGAGTTTTGTGAATAATTTTATGAAGACTATATAGTCTGATCCAAGAGTTTCTGGTGGCGTTCTGTGAAAATTTGAGAAGAAAATTTAAATATAACATGTAAAATTAATATTGATTAAATGTTTTGGATGATATTTTAACTATTTGTCTTACTGACAGTATAAAATGCAATTCTTTAATTTTGGAAACAATTACAGTAATATACAGTACATTACAGTATATCCTTACTCATTTCCATATTTTAAAAACAAAGCCTTACAAGGTAACAAAATATAAAATAAAAAAGAATGGCAGACATTTAGGCCAAAGTAGGTGAAGATGAAAAATCTTTGTCATTATTTTTTCTTTGTTAAAAAATAAGAACAAAGATACACAAATATGCATAATATACAAATAAAACAAACATTGCTTTTATTTTCAGGTACAGTACATGTATTTGGCAGTAGCATTCAAGAAATTGAATGAACAAATATAACAATAAAACACTATATACTCTTTACAGTATAAATTATACATGGATTCTTATTAAAGCAACTGTATTAAAGTTCTTCAGTCAAGAGCAGTGAGTGATTTTTGTTTTGTTGTTTTATTAACATTAAAGGCATAGTTCACCAAAAAATGAAAGTTCTGTCATTATTTACTCACTCTCAAGTTGTTTTAAACCTGAATTAGTTTCTTTCTTCAGTTGAACATAAAAGTTATTTTGAAGAATGAAAGTGGAAAAAAAAGTAAAGTGAAAGTGAAGAATGTGGGTAACCAAACAGGTGCTGGTCCCCAGTGACCCATAGTATTTTTTCCCCCCTGTAAATGGGGACCAGCAACTATTTGGTTACAAATTCTTCAAAATATCTTCTGTTTACAGGTTTGAGACAACATGAGAGTGAGTAAATAATGACAAAATAAAAAATTTTGGGTGAACTATCCCTTTAATGACAAGCAGCAGCATGTTTAGTATTATTAGTCTGCTGTCACTTTAAGACCTGCACACATCTGATATACAGACACACATCCTTTCTTCTCTATTTACTTTCACTTTAGACATAACCAACTGTGATTATATGTAGACATTGTGTGTTTTTGACAGTATTAACACAATCAGATGCAAAAGATAATTTATTCCAGTAATTAGGCGCTGTTTGTACAGTTGATTGAGATGGAGGTGCTAGAAATGCAACTGATAGAATGTGCGCTGTAGCACGATACTACGATATTAATTGTCCACAATCAAAAATCATGATATCGCACACCCCTAGTTATAATGTTACAAAAAAAAAATCTGTTTTAAATAAAAGCCAATTTTTACCTTTCTATTTAAAAAATCCTAAAAAAATGTATTATGGTTTCAACAGAAATATTAAGCAGCACAACTGTTTTCAGCATTGATAAGAAATGTTTCTTCAGCACCAAATCAGCATATTAGAATCATTTCTGAAGGATCATGCTTGAACCTTTGAATGGTAGTGTATATATATAATTTATAGTCCTTCACAGGGGGTCATCATATTTGTGGTTCTTGGCATCAAAAAATTAAAAAACCCCTGGTCTAATTTAAAAACTGAATAACAAGCTGAATTTACTTAGAAAGAACTTTGCGCTAAAACGATTAGTAATGCTGTTTTGTGTATATGTCTGTTTTTTTATGTTTGTCCATATGCCTTTGCAGGCTCTTTCAGAGAGTAACACTTCTTCTCGAGGACTGGCGTATCGGATCTTCCCGTCGTCTTCTCGTCAGTCACCTGAGATCAAACCCAGCGGGCTAGGTGGGAATTACATTTAATTTATGTTGTTTTCATGTAGCAGAATTCTCCTGTCATTGGTCTCATTGGAAAAACCTCTCAACCTCTCATAAGTGACCCGTCCCTGTTGACCGTTAAATGTGCTTGTTTCTGTTTAGAGTCAATGACACAGTTCAAGGACCCTGCTCAAGTTTATTTAAATCATGTCGTACCCAGTGCATCGGAAATGTGTCCATGCTGCCAGTAGTGGTCTAAATATGACTGCTGGCAGGACCTTCTCTGCTATTCTTGTCTGTACTATTTCTATCTCCAAATAACATTTATGAGGTGACAATGAACACGGTTTCGTAGGTTCGGAGTTGCATAATGTTTAGAGATTGTGGCTAATGTTGTTTGCACCTTACTAAAGCTTTATAGCATGATTTGCAGATCACAGTTTTTTTTTTTTTTTTTTAACTAAGTGCGTGTTGCATCTGGCATGTGTTTCATTTGAGCTTTTAAACAAGTGCTGTTTTTTCAGTACTGCCCTGTAGTGTCACTCAGTGTTTCACCCTCCTGCACTGGCAATATATTTATCTTCCCAGCAGTTTAACTGGGTTTTCTTTTTTTTTTAAAAAGTTCTCTGTATGCCTGGAATTGAGCTTAAAGGAATAGTTCAGCCAAAAATGAATGTCAGAAATGGGCCAGTGACAATTAAGAGTGTCCAAGAATCCAAATCTTTTAAAAATCTATTTTAAAATGTTTGTGTAAAGTTATCTGTATTCACTTTGGTTTAATATGGTTCTGAAAAACTTTTTTACAATTTAACAACGTTTACATTCAAATACTTAATTTAATAATAATTTAATAATTGTGAGAAAAAAAAAAGAAAAATAGTATAAACCACAGAGTAATAACAAACACATTGCAAAGTTAGCCTAGTAATTATTATTATGAATTATAAATTAATAAAATGTTATATTTTAATTTAAAATGTATGTTTTCTGGCAACATGTTATTTCCTACATTTGCATGCAAACTTCAATTTAGCAAAATATTAGTTTTTTCAAATAATTATAATATAGTTATTATTATTATAATAATAATGTATTTAATGTAATAATATATATATAATTTTTTACATATTATACTTATTAATATAAAAAAGAATATTATAAAAAATATAAAATAAAATGTAAAAATCATATAAAAAAATATATATTAACTATTACGCTAAACTACATTTGCTACTAGTTGTTTACCCTAGTATTTTTGACTTTATGCCCTAAGAAATATAAAATTTTCATTTGAATTCAGAAATGTTTTAGAACAGATCATTTCATTTTTGGGCGAACAATCCTTTTAACTACTTCAAATGAGGAGCTGCATGTTCACTTGTGAAAAATAACTATCGCCCGCTCCACCCCACGGTCTCCCTCCCCTCCCACACGCAGGCGCCCAGTGTGTGGGCCTCTTCAGCGCCTCCTTCCCCAACCTGAGAGACCTAACACGAGTTCCCCGCAAAAAGCCCTCCTCTTTCAGGAATCTGTCTTCTCAAACCGGTATGTCCCAAACACACACACACAGGGTTATGACGTACCTCAGCCACCAGTGGCCTGAAGATTCAGATCATTACTAAACGTTCCAGCAAATGATTCTTCTGAATAACTTACAGATATTCCCATTTTACTTAATAGACACTCACATTAACATTCAATATTCCCTTCTTGTATATTGTCTACTATATCCTAGTGGCTGTATTTTTCAGCATACTTAATTTAAAATATACTTTTATTTAATTTTAGTCATCGCAAATAAAGGCATTACGCACAACAGGAGCTGTTCCTAAACCATTTGCGTCTAGCGGTTTATCAAGGTCTCGCTTAGGAAAATTAGGTTTCCACAGTTACTGAATAATGTTATAACTAATCATTTGTCACCTTTGCTACCTCCAGACAGATTTGCATGCTGCATGTGCATGGAAACAAACATTTGTTTCATAATTTGCTAAATTGCACAAATTAGCAAGCTATTTTGTGCAAAAGGGAAATATTTTAGTGTCCTAGAACACTTCTGAAAATGTGTTTTGATGGTTTGCTATGGATAATATCCATGGCAACACAAATTATTGCTTTTACCACAATCTCTAAAGACTCATTGAGTAACTCTGACATTATGATTATTTTCAAAACATTCATTGGAAATTGCACTCTAATTTCTAGCATTCAATGGAAACATTGGAATGCATTTCTCTGTCAGTATCAAATACATTATTTAAATTACAATTTGAATTTAATTATGTGTTGTAATTTATTATTTTTATATTCATTTCATTATACAGTTATAATTATAATAATATTTGTTATTAATAATAATAATAGTTTATAATGGAACTTTCACCCCTCACTCCTTGTTAGCAGCATTAACAGTTTTGTCCACCGGGTGTTGCTGTGTGTTTGAGATATAGAGTATTACCTTGTGTAAGAAAGACATTTGAAATGGCACCCAAAATACTGCTATGTCATGCTGCATCCAATTTGTTGTGACCATCTGTTGTTTTTCTGTTTCTCAATCTCCACATTCAGGGGCAACATCTGGCCCCATTTACTCCATGTTACTTTTACCTGCTTGTTATAGATGGCTTTATGAGGAACAGAAACGATTGCATAATGTTGGGAGGATTAGAAATGCTGGTAGTTTTGAGTAAAAGCAAAAGCTCATGAGGGGCACAGTGACAAGAGTAATGCCGAATGCCTCTTTTATCTCCTCAGAGCTGCTCTCTATGCCGGCAGTAAAGAGATTTTCTGTGTCGTATGCCAGGCATCCGACTAATGGTATGTTTGGAGTTTTTGAGTCCGTGTTTTTATTTTTGTTGACACTCTCCTGCATGCCCTCTGCTGTTACTTCAATGTAGTCGTCGTAATTTAGCACCGTTTGTGATTTTTGATTAATTCATTTCATAAATCGGGGAGGCTTTTCTTCACTTTTCATTTAGATTCACAAGACACACCCATCTTAATTTGTTTCTCCTTCTGATTGGCTAGATGCATGGGTTGTGTACTGAAATATATCTGTCTTGATATATTGCTGTTTGTGTGGAAAAACGTGTGAACACCTTTCATGTTGATCCACTTGATTTAGAAATGGTTAACCCTTCCACCACCATTAATGCTTTAATGATCGCATGGCATATGCATTATTTTAAATCATCAAAGTAGACATCGTCCTTGCAACAAAAAAAATCATAGTCTTAATCAATATTAAATAACTGTGTGTGTGTGTGTGTATATATATATATAT